TCCCGGGGGGGCTGCGGCACCGGGACCCCCAGATTTCGTTTAATTCCCTTTAATTTCGTTTAATTCCTTTTTAGCAGAGCGGGCGCGGCGGGGCCGGGCCGGGAGGAGCGCGCCCACTTTCGGGGCTTGGGGACAGCCAGGCCTGGGGCTGGGGTGTCCCCAAGGCCTGGGGGGGTGTCCCCAACCCTCCCGCACCGGGGACACCCCGCACTCGCCGGGCGCGGCCGCTCCGGTAACGAAACCGGCGCTGCCCGACGGGGCTGGGGACACGCGGGGATGTCCCCGAGGGTGACAAAAGGCACCCACGGTCCTGCGGGGTGGGCACACTGCTCGGGTGTCCCTGCACGGTCACACGGTGCCACTCGCAGCCAGCCGTGTGTGACCACGAGTGCGGCCACCCCGATGTCCCCAAAAGCCACCGGGGGACGGGAGGGGTGGCCGGCCACGCTCTGCCTCGTGGCCGTGTCCACTCACACCAGCCGGACACCGCCCCACGGCACGCGTGGCCATTGTCCTGGTGTCCCCGCACTGTCCCCATTGTCCCCTCACGCTTACCCGTGTCTCCGTGTTTGTCCTGCAGCGTCCCCGTCCCCTCGTGTCCCCCACTGTCCCTGGGGTTTTTGCCCGGTGTCCCCTCACAGTCCCCTCCGTGTCCCCTCACGGTGTCCCCGGTGTCCCCTCACAGTCCCTGGGGTTTTGCCCTGTTCCCCGTGTCCCCACACAGTTCCCGGTGTCCCCTCACGGTCCCCCCGTGTTTCTGCCATGTCCCTACACTGTCCCCTCGTCTTTTCGTGCCCCGCGTGTCCCCACGCAGTTCTGGGTGTCCCCAAACAGCTCCCGCTGTCCCCGCACTGTCCCCCTGTGTTTTTCACAGTTTCCCCGTGTTGTCCCCAGTCCCTCCGTGTCCCTTCACGGTCTCCCCGTGTCCCCACAAAATTCCCCCATGTCCCCGTGCAGTCCCCCAGTGTTTTCTCACAATCCTCCCGTGTCCCTTCACTGTCCCCGGTGTCCCTTCACAGTCCCGTGTCCCCACGCAGTCCCCTCAGTGTCCCCCCGTGTTCCCTCACATCCCCGGTGTCCCCTCAGTGTCCCCCCGTGTCCCCACAGAATTCCCCCATGTCCCCACGCAGTCCCCAGTGTTTTCTCACAATCCTCCTGTGTCCCTTCACATTCCCCCGGTGTCCCCTCAGGGTTCCTCGTGTTTTCACAGTTCCCCCGTGTCCCTTCACAGTCCCTCGCGTCCCCTCACAGTCCCATGTCCCTGTGCAGTCCCTCCGTGTCCCCTCAGTGTCCTTCCGTGTCCCCTCATCATCCCCCGCGTTTTCAGAGTCCCCTCGTGTCCCCTCACAGTCCCCGGTGTCCCCTCAGTGTCCCCCCGTGTTTTCACGGTCCCCCAGTGTCCCTTCACGGTTCCCCCGTGTCCTTTCACTATCCCCTCAGTGTCCCCGGTGTCCCTTCAGTGTCCCCCCGCGTTTCCACAGTCCCCGGTGTCCTTTCACGGTCCCCCAGTGTCCCTTCACGGTTCCCCCGTGTCCTTTCACCATTCCCGGTGTCCCCTCAGTGTCCCCGGTGTCCCCTCAGTGTCTCCCCGTGTTTTCACAGTTCCCCCGGGTCCCTTCACAGTCTCTCGTGTCCTCTCACAGTCCCCCCGTGTCGCCTCACACTCCCGTGTCCCCGTGCAGTCCCCCGTGTCCCCTCAGTGTCCCCCAGTGTCCCTTCACGGTTCCCCCGTGTCCTTTCACTATCCCCTCAGTGTCCCCGGTGTCCCTTCAGTGTCCCCCCGCGTTTCCACAGTCCCCGGTGTCCCTTCAGTGTCCCCCCGGTGTCCCCTCACAGTCCGCGGTGCCCTTTCAGTGTCCCCCCGCGTTTCCACAGTCTTTCCCTGTCCCTCGGTGGTGTCCTCACGCAGTCCCCGGTGTCCCCGCAGTGTCTCCCCGTGTTTTTACACTCCCCCAGTGTCCCCTCACAGTCCCCGGTGTCCCCTCAGTGTCCCCCAGTGTCCCTTCACGGTTCCCCCGTGTCCTTTCACCATCCCCGGTGTCCCCTCACTGTCCCCCATGTATTTTCACAGTCCCTCCGTGTCCCTTCACAGTCTTGTGTCCCCTCACAGTCCCCCCGTGTCCCCTCACAGTCCCCGGTGTCCCTTCAGTGTCCCCCCGCGTTTCCACAGTCCTCCCGTGTCCCTCGGTGGTGTCCTCACGCAGTCCGCGGTGTCCCCTCAGTGTCCCCCCGGTGTCCCCTCACAGTGCCCGGTGTCCCCTCAGTGTCCCCCCGCGTTTTCACGGTCCCCTCGTGTCCCAGGCAGTCCCCGGTGTCCCCTCAGTGTCCCCCGGTGTCCCCGGTGTCCCCGCGCTGTCCCCGCTCCCGCCGAGGCCCCGCACGGTTCCCGGGCCCCGCCGCTCTCCCCCGCCCCGGGCCCGGTTCCCCGGGGTCCCTTTTCGGGGTTCCCCCGCGGGGCTGTCCCCGGGGCAGCCGTTCCCTGGCGGGGCCGAGCACAGGGATCCCCCGGTGCCCTCCGAGCCCGGGGCTCACCGGGAGCGGCCGCTCCGGTACCGGGGGGAGCGGCGGCTCCGCTCCCGCAGCCAGGCCCGGGGCCGGCCGAGCCCACCGAGCCCGGCCTTACCTCCATCTCCGGGGCACCGCGGGGTGCGGATCCGGCTCCAAACCGGGAAAATCGGGGAATTCTGCTGGGTTTTGTGGCTCCCGGAGCGGCGAGGAGCGGGGGATGCGGCGGGGCGGGCCCGGGGATGCTCCGGGAGAGCGCGGCCGGGCTGGGCTGGGCTGGGCTGGGCTGGGTGTGCTGGGAAAAGCGGAATATCGATAATAAAAACACCGATAAATGGCGCTGATCGTGCTGATAGCACCGATAATAGGAATAGGAACGGCACTAAGAATAGCAAGGCTAATAGTGACGCTAATACCGCTAATATTAACGCTAATTAAAACAACAACAGCAGCGCTAAACCCGACACGAAAACAACAACAAGCATGCGATAAAAAACGGGAATTTTTGATTAGGGTTATTTGTATAATATTGTTGGTTTTGAGGAGCGGGGAGCCCGCGGATCTCGTCGCTTCCCCTTCCCGGCAGCTCGCACCCGGTGTTTTCCCCTTTTCCCCGTTTCCCCTTCTCCCGGAGCAAATCCCTTCCCGTTATTGTTCACGTTAATCGTGGGGATAACGGAAAAAAAAAAAAAAAAAAAAAAAAAAAAAAAAAAACCAAAACAAACAAACAAAAACAGCAGCAGGAAAGGAGCGGGAGCCGTGAGGAGGCGGCGGGGGCTGAGCGGGCACCGGCGGCTTAGCGGGCACCGGGGCGGCTTCTCCGCCGCTCGTTCCGCGGCCTCAGCCGCCGCCCGGGGCCGGGGCTCGGCCAAAGGAGGAATTTTCGTTCCAGCGGCTCCCGGGCGATCGCCGCCCTCCGTCTTCCCGGTGGGACCGGCCCGCAGCCTTTCCCCGCGGCCCCGGGGGCTGAGGCCGCAGGGCGGGCTGGGTTTGGGGTAATTTTCCTCGTTTTCGTTAAAAATCGTTGGGTTGGTGGCGCATCCACCAGCGGGCCCGGTGGCGGGGCACGGCGGAGCCCGGCTGTCCGGCTGTCCGGCTGTCCGGCTGTCCGGCTGTCCGGCTGTCCGGCCCTGCCGCAGCCCGGCGAGGGCAGAACCGGGAACGGGGAACGGAGAACCGGGAGCGGGAAGCCGGGAATCGTTTCGGGCCGCCAGCACCGTCCCCGGAGCGGCGGCTCCGTCCCCGCTCGCCCCTCCGGGCCCCGCAGAACCGGGGAGCGGCCCGGGACCACCGGCCTGGAGCAGGGCCCGTCCCCGCGCTCTCCACCCTTTCCGTTCGCTTTATTTCCTTCCCCTTTTCGCCCTTTTGATTTCTTCCCTTTTACTTTCCTTATCCCTGCAGGTTTAGTTCGCCTTTTAATTCTATTTTTTTTTTCCTTTTGAGTTTTATTTTTTCCTGCTGTTTTCCCCGCGCTGTTCCGGTTATTTCAGGGACGGGCCCAGGCCGCGGCAGGCTCGGACATCCAGCCCAAGGCCTTGAACTCCCGGTGCCCTCCAGAGCCCGAACCGGGCACCTCCCGCCTCCACCAGGCTCTACCCGGTGCCCGGGCCGTACCCAGACCCCTGCGGGCCTCCCAGCCCGGTGCCCGGTACCGGCGGAGCTCAGGAGCTGCGAAATCTCGGGGTTGCTTTCGCTTAAAACTCAATTTATTTATTTTCAATCCGCCGCCGTTAGAAGCGTTCCCGTTCCCGGCAGCACCGGGGAGGGGGGCGGCCGCCCCCGGCGAAGCACCGCGGCCGCCGCCGCCGCTTTTTCCGCCCGGTTTTGCCCCGTTGTGGCGACAGCGGCGGGACGGAGCCCCCCGAGGCCGGGGAGACCCCCGGGACACCCAGCTGGAAACCGGGAGCCGCCCCGCTCGGTGCCCGGTGCCCGGGAGCGGCTGTGCCGGCTCAGGGAATTTCGGGGCTGCCCCGTGCCCCATCCCGGGGCGGCAGCGGGGTATCCCCGCTGGCGGCGGGGACTCTCCCGGTAGCGCGGGGAAGCGGCACCGGAGCCCCCGGCCCGCCGGGGCCGGGGCATTCCTTTATTCGCTGCCACCTCTGCCCCGGGCTGGGCGGGGGTCCCCAGGGTGAGCCCCCCGGGAATAACGGGGAAGCGGAGCCGCCGCCGCTGTCGGAGCCGGGCAGCGGCCGCCGAGGGGCTCTTTGTTTACCAATCGGTGTCACGGAACGGCAGGGCAGGAAATTGCGTCTCTACCGGGCCGGTAATTCAAAACGGGCTCTTTCCTGGCCCCCCGCTCGCCCCCAGCCGCTCCCCGGGGCCGCGGGGGCTCGGCCGCCCGCTCCCCGCTGCCGGCTCGGCGGCGGCCGCGGGGGATGCGCGGCGGAGCGCGGCGGCGGGGGGGGGCCGGGGCGGGGGGGTAAGGAGCCNTCCCCACCACCCCCCTAAAATCATCGCCCCCAATCTCCCGGGGTTGATTTCCCCCGCACGCGAATCCCGAGCGCGGCCACCGCCGGCGGCTCTCCCGCTCCCGCCGGTACCGGCACCGCCACCGGGACCCGCACCGGCACCGGCGCTCCATGGAAGGGCAGCGGCTGCGGCCGGAGCGCCTCAAGTTTGCCCGGAGCGAGGTGTGGAGCTGGGGAGGGGGCGCGGTGGGCAGGGTGGGGGGCTCGGCCGCCTGTCAAAGTTTGAAACTCCTTCTCCCCCCCGGCCTCGCACCCTCCCGGGACGCCCCGACGGGTCCCCCCCACCCCCGGTTCCACCCCCGGCCGGCGGGGCGGGGAGGGGGGTGCGCTTTAAATGCCGGGCCCCCGCTTGCGAGAGGGCGACAGGCGACAGGCGACGGCCCCCGGCGGTGCCCGGCCATGGGGGTGAGCCGGGGCGCCGAGCCCCGGGGGGGCCGC